AAAGGACAGAAATGGGATGGACCTAACAGAAGCAGAAGATATTAAGAAGAGGTGGCAAGAATACACAGAAGAACTATAAAAAAAAGATCTTTATGACCCAGATAATCATGATGGTGTGGTCACTCACCTAGAGCCAGACATCTTGGATTGCGAAGTCAAGTGGGCCTTAGGAAGCATCTCTATGAACAAAGCTAGTGGAGGTGATGGAATTCCAGCTAAGCTATTTCAAGTACTAAAAGATGATACTGTGAAAGTGCTGCACTCCATATGCCAGCAAATTTGGAAAACTCAGCAGTGGCCACAGGACTGGAAAAGGTCAGTTTTCATTCAAATCCCAAAGAAAGGCAATGCCAAAGAATGCTCAAACTACCACACAATTGCATTCATCTCACATGCTAGCAAAGTAATGCTCAAATTTCTTTAAGCAAGGCTTTAACAGTATGTGAACTGTGACCTTCCAGATGTTCAAGCTGGTTTTAGAAAAGGCAGAGGAACCAGAGATCAAATTGCCAATATCTGTTGATCATTGAGAGAAGCAACAGAGTTCCAGAAAAACATCTACTTCTGCTTTATTGACTATGCCAAACCCGTTGACTGTGTGATCACAACAAAATGTGGAAAAATTCTTCAAGAAATGGGAATGCCAGACCACCTGACCTGCCTCCTGAGAAATAGGTATGCAAGTCAGGAAGCAACATTTAGAACCAGACATGGAACAATAGATTGGTTCCAAATAGGGAAAGGAGTAGGTCAAGGCTGTATATTGTCACCCTGTTTATTTAACTTATATGCAGAGTACAGCATGAGAAATGCTGGGCTGGATGAAGCACAAGCTGGAATTAAGATTGCTGGGAGAAATATCAATAACCTCAGATGATGCAGATGACACCACCTTTATGGCAGAAACTGAAGATCAACTGACGAGTCTCTTGATTAAAATTAAAGAGGAGAGTGAAAAAGTTGGCTTAAAACTCAACACTCAGAAAACTAAGATCTTGGCATCTGGTTTCATCACTTAATAGCAAATAGATGGGGAAACAATGGAAACAATGAGAGACTTTCTTTTTTTGGGCTCCAAAATCACTGCAGATGGTGACTGCAGCCATGAAATTAAGACGCTTGCTCCTTGGATGAAAAATTATGACCAACCTAGATAGCATTTGAAAAAGCAGAGACATTACTTTGCCAACAAAGGTCCGTCTAGTCAAAGCTATGGTTTTTCCAGTAGGCATGTATGCATGTGCGAGTTGGACTATAAAGATAGCTGAGCACCAAAGAATTGACGCTTTTGAATGGTGGTGTTGGAGAAGACTCTTGAGAGTCCCTTGGACAGCAAGGAGATCCAACCAGTCAATTGTACATGAAATCAGTCCTGAATATTCATTGGAAGGACTGATGCTGAAGCTGAAACTCCCCATACTTTGGCCACCTGATGGGACGAACTGACTCATTTGAAAAGACCCTAATCCTAGGAAAGACTGAAGGTGGGAGGAGAAGAGGATGACAGAGGATGAGATGGTTGGATGGCATTACCAAATCAATGGACATGTGTTTGAGTAAACTCTGGGAGTTGGTGATGGACAGGGAGGCCTGTAGGGCTGCAGTTCATGGGATTGCAAAGAGTTGGACATGACTGAGCGACTGAAGTGAACTGAACTGAGAACTGGAGGTCATCTTAGAAATCTGCCCACTAGTTACCCTATAGTTACATCCTTTAAAACATCCTTTTGTCAAAACAGAAAATAACTGGTACATCATTATTAAATTCTCCTCCCACTTTTGGTTTAGTCTTATGTGCATGTATTTATGTATGTTTGTATTAGTCTATATGAAAATAATGCTCAGCAGAAGTCTTTTTGTGGAAGGTTCCCCAATCTATATTTGATTTGATAAAATCTGTCCTCTAGTAGATTCCTCAGGATGGGTTCATGGGTGGAGAATTTCCTAAGTTCTTTTATTCGATAGACAGTTTGGATAGATATTAAATCCTGGGCTCACATGTTTTCACAGAATTTTCTATACTTGTTCATGTATTTTGATTTTGTTTGGAGTTTAAAGTTTTCTTCTACTTCAGTTCTTTTTTGGGAAGAGTCTTCCTCAATTGTCTGTTTGACATTTTATTTCCTGATTCCAGCATTAGTTCTCTATAGGTTTTACTTTTCTCTCCATTTTGCAATAGGGTGTCATTTAAAAAGATTTCGAGGTTAGTGACACTAGTTTCTCATTTCTGTTGGTTGTTCCAGCTAGCCTCTTTGGCTAGAATCATTTCTGGGTCTGTTTGCTTGCCATGGATTCTTCTGATGGTGAGAGAGTGGGGCAGGAAAAATTATGGTCTGGTCCTATGGTTTGTTGCTTTTTCTCTTTTTACTCTGTTACTTTGCACATTTGGTATTCTCTGTCTTTAAGCAACACTGACAGTTTGGTTTTGGATAAAAATGTAGTTGCAGAGTTATTGCATGTATTTTTGGAAGGAGATTTTTGGGAGGCTGCTTACCATATACCCACCACTAACTTCAGCTGCTTTGCTTTAAAAAATCCTCTTAATATATTGTCTTTTCAAACAAGAAAGAAATGTGAAAACATACAGGCATGCTCGTTTTACCATGCTTTGCTTTATTGTGCTTCTCAGATATTGCCTTTTTTCTTTTTTTTATTTTACAAATTGAAGATTCGTGGCAACCTTGCATTGTTAGATAATGGTTAGTATTTTTCAGCAATAAAGTATTTTAAAGTTAAGATATGTACATTTTTTAGACATAATGCTATTGCACATTTAATAGAGTGTAAACATAACTTTTATACACAGTGGAAACCAAAAATTTGTGAGACTCACTTTATTAGGATATTTACTTTACTGCAGTGGTCTAGATCCTAATTCCCAACATCTCTGAGGTATGTCTGCAAATGATTTTCGACTTGTGATTACTAACCTGAAATTATTAGGTTTTGACTATATTTATAAATAGACTGCTTACAGGAGGCTAGATTTCCTATAAATTTAATTACCAGAGTTGTTTAATTCCTTAGGTAGGTTTTAACTTGTAACTGTTAGCAGTTTGCAGACATCTGAAATACATAATAGAATATATTAAATGCATCAATGAAATTTAAAATGTTTATAGACATTTAATTATTTAGGCCTTTAAATCAAACTGACAGTTTAAGGGGTATTTAGTTAGCTTGATTTGAGTAATTAAACATTTATTAAAAGAAAATAATTTCTTAATTAGAGAAAATTTTCTAGATTTATAAAGATACTAATGAAGTTGAAGCTCCAATACGTTGGCCACCTGATGCAAAGAGACTGAATGCTGGGAAAGATTGAGGGCAGGAGGAGAAGGGCGAGAGAGGATGAGATGGTTGGATAACGTCATCATCTCAATGGACAGGAGTCTGAGCAAACTCTGGAAGACAGTGAAAGACAGGGAGCCTGGAATGCTGCAGATTGTGGGGTCACAAAGAGTCGGACATGACTAAATGACAGAACAACAAAAATGAAGTGTGTCTGTGGTACAGCAAGACCTGCCCAAGTCCAGAAGTACAAGAAGCAATAGGGCAGAAGTCTGGGTAAGAATAAGGAGATAAGGTATGAGTGGTCTCGGTGATTAGCTCTCTCTTTGCCCTACACTCTAATTTCCTTTCTAAAACTTACTGCTTCTCCCAAACACATCAGGATGTTTCACACCTCATTTACTGTTTTAGGCACCGAGGAATATCAGTTCAGTCGCTCAGTCGTGTCCCACTCTTTGCGACCCCATGAACCGCAGCATGCCAGACCTCCCTGTCCATCACCAACTCCCGGAGTTTACCCAAACTCATGTCCATTGAGTCGGTGATGCCATCCAACCGAGGAATACAGGGAAGAATAATACAAAGTTCCTAATCTCATTGACTTCAACTACAGAAAAGAGACAAATTAAAACAAACAAATAAATACATAATTTCAAATAGTGGCAAGGCAATGAGGATAAAAAAAAGTAGGATAAAGGAAGACAGTGATAGGGAACAGTGTTACTGGAACTGTATTCAGGGAAGGCTTCTCCGAGGTTGTGATATTTAATCAGAGATCTGAATGAAGTCAGAGAAAGACATTCAGAGGAAGAGAATTTCAGATGGAAGGTCTAGCAAATTGCAAAAGCCTTGACGTTGGAACAAGCTTAGTGGGTTTATGGTACAACAAGGAGGTGACTGTGACAAAAGCAGAGTGAAAGTAAAGTCAGAAAGACAGCTGAGCATAAATTATAGGAGACTGGTGGGTCATGACACAAAATCTAGATTTTATTATGAATGCCAAAGGAAGGTATTGAAATGTACTATTTGGCCTGCTTAGACTGCCTTTCTCCTCCTCGGTTATCTGGCTAACTTCCACTTGTCTTTCAAAATCAGCATCATCTCCTGTGGGACATATTATCTCCAGATAATATGAATCGCCTCCTTCTGTGTGCTACCTCTGAGCAATAACGAGTGACTGAACTGTGTGTGTGTCTCATTTCATTGTAGAGTAGCTCTAGTATTTAACGTAGTAGTAGGTAGTAAAGAAAGGTTCCATAAAGGAAAACCACCCATTCAACGGTGCAGACCTTCACTTCTCTGGACCAATTCAGGTGCCATTCACACGGAGGCACATGGGAACCGGTTGCCCTGGGAGGTCGGCTGCAACATTTCCCCACCTCTCTCTTGCCACCTGAGGCCAAGAAGGCCTCTCAGGACAGCCAGCCTCCCACTGTCAGGGGCCTGCTGTTTCCCCTTAGCACATCTATTCCCGCATCCTTCCTGGGCCCTGTGGTGGGATTTGAGATGGGGTGACCTTCGGGCTTCGCGTCTCTGCATCCACACTCCCGGCAAACGCTTCCGTGGCCCAGTCAACGCACCTTCTAAACAACGGGACTTAACAGCCGCGATGTCCACTGGCCTAGAGAGTACAGCTCCCGCCGCGCCTCCGTGGCACACCCTTCGTCCCGCAGTCGCCCCCCCCCCCCACCCCCCCCCGCCCCACTCACCTAGGATGCGAGTGACCCCCAAGGTCAGCTTCTCCAGGTGCGGCTTGCTGCTGCCCAGCAGCGGGGGCGGCGTCTCCTCCATGTCTCGCGTCCCGGCTCCGCGTGCAGCCGGGGAAGGGGAGGGGACCGGGCGGGGGAGCGGGGCGGGCCGGAGGGCCGGACTCCGCCCAGGAGGCGCGGCCGTCAAGTTCGCGGCATGCCGGGACTTGTAGTGCTCGGCGCCTGAGAGGGCTGCGGGGCGGAGATGAGGGGCCCGGGCTGCTCGGGCGGTAGTAGTCCCCCGAGGAGCTTGTTCCCGCTGCCCCGGCGGGTGCTCCACGCCACGCCGCCGGGACCCAGCGACCCCTCCGGCCGGACCGTCCCCCCCCGCCGGGGCCGGCCGCGCAAGCGGGGGCGGGCCTCTATGTCGTGTGGCCAATCCGGACCGGGCCTGGGGGCCGGGGCGGGGCGGCCCCGACGCGACGCCCCGAGTGGCGGTTGTTTCAAGATGGCGGACGTGGCGGGCCCCTCCCGCCCGGGCGCGGCGGCGTTCTGGAGCCGGGACTGTATCCTTTGCCCGCCTGACAGGGGGCGCCGGCGCCTTCCCCGGGGCGAACGGTCGCGAGGGACTCGAAGCGGGGGGGAGAGGTTCGCTGCGGACCCCGGGGGCGGGGCTGTGCTGTCGGGCCGCCGGGCAGTCCCCTTGCTTGGGTATTAGGTGGCAGAGAGCCTGCACTGTTTCTCCAGGCTGGAGTTCTAGACGTGGGCACTCGACCCAAGCTGTTTCCCTGCCCTCCTTGGCGGTGAGCTCTGGAAAGACGGCCTAGAGTCGGGGGCTGGAAGGGGCCCTCTGCCTGAGGCGACCTCCGGCCGGCCGGGTCTGTGCGGAGTGAGCTTCTGGAGGAGGGCATGCTGCTGTTTGGTCCAGAATCTTTTCGTCTTGGTTTAGGAGTATCCCTGGCCTGCGCTGTTAGGAGCAAGTCAGGACCTCGTCGGAGTTCTAAAGCCTGGCAGTGACGATGTATTTTCATACTTAGATCTTCAGAGAATTGTGGGACTTGGTTGCGCCCGGACGTGATCTGGTGATGCTGATGATGGAATCAGATGCGATGCAGATTTTAGGGCCTGGGAGCTGATTTGTCTGTAGGTTGCGGATCGCCGCTAGCAGGATTGAATCAGTTCTTCGATAGTTTTATGGTAGAGAAGCGGTGGTGCTTTTACCCTTGGAGTAATGAGATGTGTGACAAAACCGGTTCTTTTCCCTGCGTTAGGTACACTGTTCCAGATGGATCGTTGGCCCTGGTAACTTGCTTCATGTTCCAGGAGAGTTACCTGAAATGAGGGCATTCAGTGGGTTGGACACCCACGGAGGCAAGCCTTTTTGTCTGTTTGCTAGGATTGGCCATAGCATTGTTAGAGGCATTGCTGTTAACTTCTGAATCATTCTTTGCAGGTTCTACGTAGCTAGTCAGTAAAACTTAAGAAGTTACATGATCAATTCCCCTTGTTGGATTACTAAGATTAAAGTGTCACTCCTTGAAGAGTTGGGTATTTTTGCATTTCTTGCTGCTGAGCGTTTGGTGTTATGGACTTTCTAAGCATTATTACCATTTGTGTATGAGAGGTTGGTGAGCATCAAGTGAAATCGTGATCCTACACTGTGGATAAAAAGCACACTGATACACTGTGAAAATTAAATATTTTTTTTCTTTACCTGTCAGGAGAATATGTGCATCGGGAGCAACTGGACTGAATTAGAAGTAAGGAAATTGGGATGAGTCTTTCTTGTGAAACATTGTCTCTGCAATGTTAGAATTTTCTGATAGAGATATATGAAGATTATTAACTTACAGTGTGCTTCTTCAGTGTAATCATTTTCATAACCATCTATGTGGCTTTCGTTATTATTCCTTAACTTTATGTATAACCAATGCTATTGTGCTGATACGAAATGTATAAGGATATTGTTCTGATATATAGTAGAATGTAAGTGGGGTGTGGATAGGGGAGACAGTCTGTTGCAGTGGGTATTATTAAGTTAATAGGTGTGTAAACAGAATCTATGCTCTTGGTCTTAGCAGCCTTGTACTCATTTATGTAATCATATTACTCCGTATTTCATATAGATGTCATATAGCCTTCCTTTTCTCTTACATTCTCCCTGACTCTAAAAATTAACGCAAAATACTCATCTTTGCAGTGAAAGTGAGGAGTTGAAGTTATTTGGGGAAAATGGTGGTGATTACGTTCTGTAGAAATTCAGATGTTTGAAAGGAATTTCAAGGTTACCAGTATCACCTGTTTCCCCTCCCTATTCCACGTAATGACCAATTAATATCCAGCCTTAAATATTTTCATGTTAAATCTCTGTAGGACTTAAAAGCAATGTCATATATGAATTTGTTACTTAATCTTTGCTAAAAAACATAATTATGAATCATTTGATTTAGTCATGTGTCTTTTGATCTATATGTAAAAAAATTTTTATTGGAATGTCTTTTGATCTTGATCTCTTTTCTCATTACACTGATGACTTCCCAGACCACCTCTGAAGTTCTAATAGTAAGAACTTTCAATAGAAAAGCGCCAAAAAGTATATACCTGTAATCTGGTATTCTTTTCACACTATTCAGAGATTTTCAGTGCCTCACCTAAACAATTGGAGAAGTATGATTGAGAGATTTCCCATTCCTAGATGTTTCTGTCATGTGAGGACAGGTCATCTCTGACTGAAGGTCACCTTTTCATACTGTTGTTTTTATGAGTTGTGTATCTCCTGCATAGTATGATTCAGCAGTGCTGTTTTGCACAAGGTATTTCTTTATACCCAATGTGTAAACAGTGATATGCCATGTTGTCATTTTATGGCTTAAATCTACAAGTGAAATATACCCACTTTGGCCATAAACTGCTTTCCTTCTTCGTTATAGCCCTTGGTAATATCAAAAGAAATTAATATTTATGCAGTATCTAAATTTGATTGCTGAAGTGCACTTAAGTGTATTATCTTTAGCAGTATTATGAACTTGATATTAACAAATACGAACTATAAAGGACCTGGTCAAAGCATTGCAGTAGCTATAATCTCTGCCATGAGTTTTCAATTAAATAGAGACTTTATGTTGATGTTAAAATAATATCAGTTCAGTTCAGTTGCTCAGTTGTGTCCGACTCTTTGCGACCCCATGGACTGTAGCACGCCAGGCCTCCCTGTCTGTCACCAACTCCTGGAGTTTACTCAAACTCATGTCCATTGAATTGGTGATGTCATCCAACCATCTCATCTTCTGTCGTCCCTTTCTCCTTCCGCCTTCAATCTTTCCCAGCATCAGGGTCTTTTCAAATGAGTCAGTTCTTTGCATCAGGTGGCCAAAGTATTGGAGTTTCAGCTTCAGCATCAGTCCTTCCAAAGAGTATTCAGGACTGATTTCCTTTAGGATGGACTGGTTGGATCTCCTTGCTGTCCAAAGGACTCTCAAGAGTCTTCTCCAACACCACAGTTCAAAAGCATCAATTCTTCAGCACTCAGCTTTCTTTATAGTACAACTCTTACATCCATACATGACTGCTGGAAAAACCACATATGTCAGGAAAATCATTATGGTTAGTAATGATGATACACATATTGCTGATAAGTGATTCATACTCACAAGGTTATCGCAGAATGGGAAGTACCAAGTTTATTTTCTTCACATCCTGTTGCTCTAGAATAGGTGTATTTATTTCTCCCTACCACTTCTGGCTTGGGTTTCTGCTTTGCACTTTAATTTCGGAAACTTGGGCATTAAAGACTCTCTATAACTTACTGTACTTATCCTATTGAGGCACTTCCAGATGAACCAAATGGAACTAAGATGACACAGAGAACATGACAAGAGGTCCAAATTGTGTCTCTTTAACTTTCCCATGAAATATACATTTGTTGGGAATTGGTATTTGAAGAAGGTAAATATTTGGGTTCTCATAAATAATGAGGTGAAGATAGATTACAAACAGAAAGTATAGGTTGAATGGAGGCAATTTCAAATATTTTGTCTTATTTATAAAAACTTTTGTTAAGGTCAGTTTATTTAGTGGTCTTATATTTGAAAAAGAAATTTGGTGTGGGTGTCACTAGTGGGGTTTGTGTGCAAATTTTGAATAGGACAAAGAGAGAGCATTGAGAGTTGTTGGACAGTGCCTCATGGGATTAAAGAAATACCAGTTTAATTCGTTCCTAGATGGTTTACTATGATCCAGGCATTCTTTGATCTTAGAGATACAACATTGAACAAAACAATGCAGATTTTCACTGGCTTTGTGCTTACATGTTAGTGAAATGAAATTAGTTCATGAATAAGTAAAATAATATTATATGATTATGGGTGCTATGGAGAAGAATAAAGCAGGAAGAGGGTAGCTGTTAATGTCATGGGGGCCTTTTGTGTTTTGATAACTGTTGCTTTGTAGTGTTTTGAAACCAGGAATTGTGATGCCTCCAGCTTTGTTCTTCTTTCTCAAGATTGCTTTGACTAATTAAGGTCTTTTGTGGTTCCATCCAAATTTTAGGATTGCTTATTTTACAATATTTTTGTGAAAAATGACTTTGGAATTTTGCTTTGAATCTGTAGATTGCTTTATGGACATTTTAGCAATATTCTTTTAATTCCTGAGCATGAATTTCTTTCATTTTTCTTCAGTTTCTTTCGTCAGTGTCTTATACTTTTCAGCGTACAGGTCTCTTACCTCTTTTGTTAAATTTTCTAGATTTTTTTACTCTTTTTTTGATGCAATTTTAAATTGGATTCTTTTCCTCCTAATTTGTCTTCCTGCTGGTTATTCTCGTATAGATTTTTATTTAATTGATTTTGTATTCTGCAACTTCTGTTTATCAGCCATCTGAATGTGATTATTCTAACAGTTTTTCAGTAGCATCTTTAGTGTTTTCTATATGTAATATCATGCCATCTGCAAATGCATGTTTGTCAAAGGCTTCTATAGTTAGTTTTTCTTAAAGAAATAGGAAGCAAAGTTATTAGCTTAGAGTAAAGATGGGGGAAATGGTATCAGGTTTGAGGAGGGAAGAGAAAGTATAAAATATTTGATGAGCTTCTGAGTCGAGCAGACTCCTTTGTGGATGATCTAGAGAAGTGTAGTATGTTTTCCAGGACTCAGTTATGTCAGTCTTTCCATGGGTCATCCTTGGAGATGGAGAATATTCTGCAAATTCATCCCTATTTTATATTTTAACTGAGGACTCTGTCATATGGAGCATGTCCTGAGTCATCTTGAAATTTTTCCCCTCTGTACTTTTTCCCATGTGTGTATTTCCAACAGCAAATAATTAAACAGTAACTGAGGAGTCCCAGAGGATGTAAAAAATGAATCTGCTGCTAAAGAGTCTGCACAATTTTAGCTTGTAAAGCTTTTGTTTTGGATTGGGTGTCAATGAATTTAGAAATGCTCACTCCAGTCAGTATTAGTTACAGTCAATTTCCTTGGACTAGTAGGTCTAATTTTTTGTTTGTTTACTTGTCTTATCTGCCTCCTGAAATTTTCTATGCTCATCCCTGATGTCTGAGGAAGTTTAAAGTTTTTAGAGGCACTAGTTACCAGCCAAAGTCTTGAAGCTATGACAGTGCATATGCTGCTGAGGAGTTCTGAACCACCTAGCAGGTCAGACAGTAAGCACCACCATTGTGTTCCTTAATTTCCTTCGGGATTCTAGGCATTTCCAGTCAACATTCCTTGAAAAGATTCCATTTCTAGAATTGGTTCTAAACTGAAATATATTGGCTTTCTAACATGTTTTATCCACTGTTTTATTCCTCTCTGCTTCCAGGAGGAAATAGTTAATATTTGATTTGTCTACAAATTTTGGAAAACACAGTATTTCATAAAGTAACACAAAACTTTGGACTTTTCTATGTCATTTGAAAAATAATTGTTTAGACACATGCTTCCTGTATGTGTAATAGAAGGTTATCAAATGGTAGACATACCTGGATTTAAATCTAGTTCTGAATAACATTTTATTTATGAAAAGTAAACTTTATTATATTGGTTCCCTTTCTATATCAGTGTTCGGCTCAGCTGGTAAAGAATCTGCCTGCATTGCAGGAGACCTGGGTTCGATCCCTGGGTTGGAAAGATCCCCTAGAGAAGGGAATAGCTACCCACTCCAGTATTCTGGCCTGAAAAATTTCATGGACTGTATAGTCCATGGGGTCGCAAAGAGCTGGACACGACTGAGCGACTTTCACTTTCACCCTTTCAAAATTTCTCCTTTTGAGATTCGAAATAGTTCTTTTTGTCTTAAATTTCTTCCACTTGTTAAATAGTAGGGCTTCTTGAGACATTTCATGAATGTACTGTGGAAGAATAAAAAATATTTTTGCGTTTGCATAATTGAGCTGCCCTTAAACAGTATTTGTTCTTCAAAGCTAAAACTCATTTTGAAATTACATATTCATGCCTCAGATAACTTGTCAGTTCACCAAAGATGAGCACGATGGAACATTTAACTCCTTGTTTACAAAAGGAAAGAAAATGAAAGGAAACTACAGCAGAATTTATAGTGCTGGGTATGTCATTTGGGAATAAGCATGGATAAAACTTTAATGGAACAAGGCATTCCAGCATTTTTACAAAGCAGATAGTTGTGAATATATAAAGATGAACTTTAAAATATTATTAATTTTGCTACATTTATTTTAATTACATTACTTCCTAGTTTTGTTTTTAAAAGCTAGTTACAAACTTCTAGCTCAAAAGATTGCAAATTGCAGCAGAAGTGCAGAACAACAGCATTTGGATGTTGGATAATATTTTCTAGTATTTTCCTTTATGTCTTCCTGCATAGTTTCTGATGAAGAACAATCAGTAGTGTATGTTCCAGGTATGATTTTCTATATTAATTTGGTAAACTTCTTTGCTTCTTAAGAGTTAGAAGAAAATAAAACATTAGGACAACTTTGTAGGTATAAGTAGATGCAGAACAGTTCATCAGAACTTAGTTTTTTTTTCTTTTTTTAATATTTGGTGTGACCCCGCTAAGATTTGAAATATTGCCTTATTTTAGGGTCTGGCTGGCAAGTCAGCTTTTGATGAATTTATAGAATACTTCGTTCATGGATTAGCAGATTCTTTTGTTACTTTTCATGTTCAAATAATAGTCTAAATTTTATATTTCAAAGAAAATGTATAAACTCCGTGATGTAGGGTTTATGTAACAGACTTTAAAGTTTACTGGTTGTTATGAGATGAGTTGTAAAACTGAACCATTGGCGGTACATCTAATTATGTGAAAATTCAGATTTTTAGCTTCCAATAAGTTAAGGTACATATGGCATGTTGTAGTTTATTGGTTTTAATGTGATTTACAAATGTTCACATCCCCTTTAAAAAATATTTCAGTTGAATCTCTAGTGCATTCACAACACAGTCTTTTCATGACTTGTTATTTAGTACCAGAACCTTAAAATTAAGTTTATAAAGAGATTTGCCCATCACGTGCCATAAAGTAGAGGGTAGGTATCAAGGAAAAGGTTGCTAGGGGGAGGGTTTAAAAGAATGAAAAGATATAATTTTGAAATCTTGTTTTGATGGAAATCCTTAGGAATTTCTACAGAAGGAAATATCAGGTCAAGACACAAGATGCTGAATCCAAAAGCTGATGTTAAAGTCAAGACCTCCAGGGTGACTGCTACTCCAGTCTCCATGGAGTCTTTAAAAGGTGCAGGAGATTCAGTTGATGAACAGGTCAGTAATCTCTTTTTTTCTGGATTTTTTTTTTTCCTTTTTCTCCAGTCTTTATAAACACTGGCCAATGAGTCATTTTTCTGTGCTGGCCAATAACTGATAGGTCAGTGTGGAAGAGTCCTTAAAAGTACATTAGACGATCTACAAGTATTTTGAAAAGATACAGAGGATTCAGGGATGCTTTATTAATATTTAGTATGAATATAAAGTATATATATTATTCAAAGCTTTTGTTACAGATTGTCCAGGCTTACTTTAAGCCTTAGTTAAGAAATGTTTATTGTTTTCATAAGTTTCAGAAAACTTACATCCTGATCTGTGTGGTGGTAGTAAATCAAATTGACAGCAGTTTTTTAAATTTTATTAGGTATTCTTTATGATTTTTGTTCATGTAAATGTTAGTTGATAAATAATCCTTTGCATATAAGAAAATGCTTTGTTAAAATTAGCCTATATTATTATTATTTCCTTCACTTGTCAAATACTATCATGAAGACTTTATTTTTATCACTCAGTCATTTATTTCTCCCTTGTCTGTCTTTGCCTCTCTAACAGTGTCTCTATATTCCTTTGGTTCGTGCCCTGTCTAGTTCGTTTATTTTACTTTGCATGTATGCTAAGTCACTTCAGTCGTGTCTGACTCTTTGCAACCCTATGGACTGTAGCCTGCCAGGCTCCTCTGTCCATGGGATTCTCCAGCCAAGAATATACGAGTAGGTTGCCATTTCCTTCCCTGTTATTTTACTTTATATTTTGTCTCCTCATCTGGGGGTTAAGTCAGGGTTTGACAGTCTATGAGTTGTAGGCATCTGCTTTTCCCTGTTTTGTGAGTCAAGTGTTACTGGAACACAGCCTTTCTCTTAACATTCTTTTAATGTCATCTTACTGGTGCTTTCGTATTACAGTGTCAGAGGTGCTGTAAAGATGTATGCCTACAAAGCCAAAATCATTTACTATTGAACTCTTTATAAAAAAATGTTTTTTAAAAAATGTTTTTCAATACCTGGTTTATGTTCTTGAGGAAATGTTCAGTGTCTAGTTTTGTTACTTGTTACTGTTCTTGAGGAAATGTTCAGTGTCTAGTTTTGTTACTTGTTACTCTTGACCCTTGAACAACACAGGTGTTAGGGGTGTTGAACCCCATGCAGTCAAATATCTGCATATAATTTTTGACTCCTCCAAAACTTCTCTAGTAACTTACTGTTGAATGAAAGCTTTGCTGATAACATAGTTTACACATATTTTGAGTGTTTTATATATATATATATATATATATATACACACATGTATTTTACACATTTCATGACACGCCTAACTTTTTCCTTAATTTATTTTTATATATTTCTTTAGGGTGTGTGGTTCATTTGCAAGTTTTTTCAAATTGTTTTAAATCTCCAGCAAGTTTTCCAGTGTATTTATTGAAAAAAATCTGCTTATAAGTAGACCTGTGCAGTTCAGACTCACGTTGTTAAGGATCAACTTAACAGGTTGGGTCAACTTATCACGTTTAGTTATCTACAGGATTTAACTGTGATTAGCTCAAATCTTGCATGGGCTTCCCAGGTGGCTCAGTGGATAAAGAAACTGCCTACCAATTTTGAACTGTGATGTTGGAGAAGACTCTTGAGAGTCCCTTGGGCTGCAAGGAGATCCAACCAGTCCATCCTAAAGGAAATCAGTCCTGGGTGTTCACTGGAAGGACTGATGCTGAAGCTGAAACTCCAATACTTTGTCCACCTCATGCAAAGAGTTGACTCATTGGAAAAGACCCTGATGCTGGGAGGGATTGGGGGCAGGAGGAGAAGGGGATGACAGAGGATGAGATGGCTGAATGGCGTCACCGACTTGATGGATATGAGTTTGGGTAAACTCCAGGAGTTGATAATGGACAGGGAGGCCTGGCATGCTGCAATTCGTGGGGTCGCAAAGAGTCAGACACGACTGAGCAACTGAATTGAACCAATGCATGAGATACAGGAGATGTGAGTTCAGTCCCTGGGTTGGGAAGATTCACTGGAGGAGGAACTGGCAACCCACTCCATTATTCTTGCCTGGAAAATCTCATAAACAGAGGAGCCTGGCAGACTGCAGTCCATGGTGTCACAAGGACATGACTTAGCTCAAAAGGCTTGTTATGTTGCTTATATCCCCAGTATATCCACTTCACAAAAGCTGTTCCCCATTAATCTCAGCTGCTGACAACCGCTAACCTGCTTTTAATCCCTAAATATTTGTCTGTTCTGAATATTTCATATAAATGAAATAATGTACTTTATGGTCTTTTGTGACTGGCTTCTTTCACTTCAAGGTTCATCTATGTTGTATCATGAATCATTGCTTCATTCCTTTCTCTGGCTCAGTGCATGTTTTGTTTAACCACCAGTTGAAGGACATTTGGATTGTTACACTTTTTGGCTAATATGAATATGCCTCATCAGCATTCATGTACAGATATTTGTATGGATTTCTGTTTTCAATTTTCTTGGATATATATCTAGAAGTAGAATTGCTGGGGCATGTAGTAATTCTGTTTAAGCTTTTGATGTACTGCCAAAGTAGCTATACTGTTTTACATTCTACTAGCAATGTATGAGGATTCTAGATTCTCCACGTCCTCACCAACGCTTTATATCCATTTTTTTGGTTTATAATTGTAGTAAATTTGAAGTGGTATCTCATGGTTTTGATTTGTATTTTCCTAATGGCCAGTAGTGGACTTCCCTGGTAGCTCAAATGGTAAATAATCCACCTGTAATGCATGAGACCCAGGTTCAATCCCTGGGTGGGAAAGATCCCCTGGAGAAGGGAATGGCAACCCACTCCAGTATTCTTGCCTGGAGAATTCCATGGACACAGGAGCCTGGCGAGCTACAAGCTACAGTCCATGGGGTTGCNAATCCCTGGGTGGGAAAGATCCCCTGGAGAAGGGAATGGCAACCCACTCCAGTATTCTTGCCTGGAGAATTCCATGGACACAGGAGCCTGGCGAGCTACAAGCTACAGTCCATGGGGTTGCAAAGAGTTGGACACAGCTGAGTGACTAAACACACACACATACACAGTGGCCAGTAATGATCATATGTTTATCTGGAGAATTCCATGGACACAGGAGCCTGGCGAGCTACGAGCTACAGTCCATGGGGTTGCAAAGAGTTGGACACAGCTGAGTGACTAAACACACACACACACACACACACACACACAGTGGCCAGTAATGATCATCTGTTTATGTGCTTCTTGGCCATTTGTATATGTTCTTTACAGAAATGTCTGTTCAGATCTTTTTCAATTTGAGATATTTGTCTTCTTATTGATGAGTTGTAAGAGTTATTTATAAATTCCACCTCTGAGTCTCTTATCAGATACATTATTTGCAAATATTTTCTCCCATTCTGTGGGTTGTTTTTTTCACTTTTTTATTGGTGTCCTTTGAAGCTTAAATGTTTTAAATTTTGATGAAGTTCAACTTACCAATGTTTTTCTTTTATTGCCTATGCTTTGCTGTCATGTCTAAGAAATCATTACCTAAACCAAGTTCTCAAAGATTTATACCACTATCTAAGAGCTTTGTACTTTTAGATATTACATCTAAGTTTTGATCCATTTTGATTTAAATTCTGTAGATGGTATGGGTAGTGACCCAGCTTTATTCTTTTGTATGTGGATGTCCTCTTGTCCCAGTATCATTTGTTGCAAAGACTATTCTTTCATTGTCTTGCCACCCTTGTTGAAAAATCTTTTAATCGTAAATGTAAGTGTTTATTTCTGTAATCTCAGTTCTATTCCATTGATCTGTATTTCTGTTTTAATGCCAATACCACTCTGTTTTAATATATTGTAGCTTGGCAGAAGTCTTAGAATCAGAAAGTGTAAATAGTCCAAGTTCTTCTTTTTCAAGGTTGTTTTGGCTATAATGGGTCCTTTGCATTTCCATAGGAATTAATGGAATCAGCTTGCCAGTTTCTGCAGAAAGTCAACTTGGGATTTTGGTAGCAATTGTGTTGAATCTTTTTAAAAAAAAGTTGAAAAATACAGTTGATTTACAATAATGTGTTAGTTTCAGGTATACATCAAAGTGATTCAGTTTTATATATATGTGTTTATAATTATGTATGTGTGTATATATATACATATATTTTCTTTTTAGATTCTTTTCCCTTATAGATTATTGTAAAATATTGAGTCTAGTTCCCTGTGCTATACAGTAGGTCCTTATTGGTTATCTGTTTTATATATAATACTCTGTATATGTTAATTGCATAAATTAAGTGATTGGGAGTCTTTTTTTTATTTTAATTTTTTGCACAACTTTAAAGGTTACTTTCCATTTACAGTTATTACAAAATATTGTCTGTATTCCCCGTATTGTAGAGTACATCCTTGAGCCTTACACCCCATAGTTTATATCTCCGACTCTGCTACTCCTACCTTGTGTTAAATCTTTAGATCAATTTGGCGAGTACTCTCAGCTTCATAATATTGTCTTCTAAGCCTTGAATATGGTGTGTAAATTGTCTATTTATTTAGATCTTTAATTTCTTCCAGTGATGTTTTGTTGATTTCAGTGTACATGCCAAATTTATTTTCAAGTTTTAAGTATTTTATACTTTGTGATGCTACTATTAATGAAATTGTTTTCTTAATTTCATTTTTGGATTTTTGACTGCTAGAAACATAGTTGATTTTTTATCCTGTAACCTTTCTAAATTCATTTATTAGTTCTAATCTAATAGCTTTTTGGTGATTTTCTTACAACTTCTTATATACAAAATTATGCCATCTGTGAAGAGAGAGAGTTTTACATTTGCCTTTTCAGTTTGGATTCCTTTTATTTCAGTTGTCTCGTAAAGAGATTTAAAAATGTGACAAACCTTATTCCAAATCGTTTTTTCATACTGATAGTCTTTTGGTTCAGTACCAATTATTGAGGGAACCATTCATTTCTGCATTGAATTGCCATGATGCTATTATAAATCAAGGAGAGACTTAAGATTTCACTACAAGTCTGGCATCTGTGAGAGGAGAAGGAAAGAAAGATTGACAGGGAAGAGCCTCAGACTTCCTTGCAGTCTGAGATAATATATGAGAGATGTATTATTCTTCCCTTATTATAGCATAGCATCTTATTTGGTAATCTCTAATTTTGTGTTTATCATTCTGTTGTTTCTCTTTATCAGGGGTTGACAAACTATTTCTGTAAAAGGCCAGATGGTAAATGTTTAGCCTTTGTGAGACACATGGCCTCTGTCTTAATTATTTAATTCTGCCATGATAGTGTGGAAAGTGCCATATGTATGTCAGTGTATAAATGAATATGCATGGCTGTGTTTTAATAAACTTTTTTTTCCAAAAATAAACTCTGAGCCAGATTTAGCTTGCAGTCATAGTTTATCAGCTGCTGTCCTGTATGGTGTAAACACGTATTTGTTTTTCAAACAATGGTGGTGGTGTAGTCACTAAGTTGTGTCCACCTCTTGCAACCCTGATGGACTGTGGCCCACCAGGCTCCTCCGTCCAAGGGATTCTCCAGGCAAGAATACTGGAGTGGGTTGCCGTTTCCTCTTCCAGGGGATCTTTCCCAATCCAGGGATTGAACCCACATCTCCTGCATTGCAGGTCTCTTCTCAGCCACCAGGGAATCCCATAGTTTTAAGTATATTTCCAACTTTTTATGAAAATTCTCATATCATATTGTCTGATTTGTTTTTTTTTGTTCAGTATTATGTTTCTGAGGTTTATTTATGCTGCATGTTGTCATATTTAGTTTCTTTTCACTGATATTTCAATCAGGGTTTACTCAGTTATTTCAACTGAGAGTATGTTTAGTATATAAAAATTTGTTAAACTGGTGCTGGAGAACTGAAAGGCAAAAAGGGCCATGCTAATTTATCATGTAGGTAATAACAGTAAGACACAACCACCATCTCTAGAGTTGGGAAAACAGAACAAATCGGAATTATTAAAACCTAGAAACTTGGAGGAGGGGCCACTTAGAGCTGAAATTTGGAACTTTGATGATGGGGAACTAGCCTAAGGGGTATTGCTGTCTCCAAGGAGACATGACAAAGGCTGGTTCTGCGAGGCCTGGAAGAATCACCAACTGGAATGGGTTGTTCTTGCCAGGGTGAGGATCTCTGGCAGGGCCAACACTGAGAGAGACAGAAAGCAATAGGAAGGAATGTGTCCTTTCTTCCTCTCAGAGCCTCTCCTTCTCCCTGTTGGTAGAGCTTCATAGAGAACAGGCTCCCCTGGTGGCTCAGATGGTAAAGAATCCGCCTGCAATGCGGGAGACCTGTGTTCAGTCCCTGGGTTGGCAAGATCCCCTAGAGGAGGGCATGACAACCTTCTCCAGTATTCTTGCCTGGAGATTTCCCATGGACTGGAAAGCCTGGCGGGCTGTAAGTCCATGGGCTCACAAAGAGCTGGACATGACTGAGTGACTAAGCACAGCATAATAGAGAATGATGTGGCAAAGGAGAATTGAGGTTTCCAGAGCCTCAGCCTCACAAAGCAAAGCAGGGTAGGGTGGGTTTGAAGATGGATGAATGTCAACTAACAATCAGTAGCTGCAGAATTCCATTGTATAAACATACCACAGTTTAACTCTGGTTGACAAACATTTGTGTTTTCAGGTTTTTGCCTGAACACAATGCTGCTGAAGTTCTTGCCTATTTGCAAGAGTTTCTCTTTTTTGTTTACTGAAATCTCTTAATGGGTTTTCAGCAATTTTTCCCTTTGCCAAATCCAGTGACTCCTTTTAATATTCTCTTTTTTGATTATTACCACTGTTAACCCCACATTCTTCTTAAAACTTTTTTCTCGTACAATATTGTATGCTTCTGATCCTCCTTTTGTCTTTTTAGTTACCAGTTTTATTTTCTTGGATTAGGAGTTGATTTTTAAAAACTAGTATTTTTTTCTTAATTTTAAGGAAAATTTTAAAACATAGAAAAATATAAAGAAAACAATAAAAATATAAACATTATGGATAGCAGCATATGGCTGAATTTTAAATTTTTATGTTTTTTTCTGACTTGAGATCCAGACCCACATTTCCAGCTTCCTGCCTAAACATTTCCTCATGAATGTCCTCCTGGCATCTCAAACTGACCATATCTAAAATCTAAAACCAAATTCATTTAATTTTTTTTTTTTACCATATCTTGTTTCCCATTTCCTTTTCCTCCCTTATCTTTCCCATCTTTGGCTAACAGTGCTTCCAGGATTCATTTTAGGGGTCTTGGATTATTCTTGGCCACATGAAGTAATTGGACTGATTTACTTTGTGGTTGCGTAACTGCCAACGCCAAAGATTATTTTTTTAAACATATTCCTTTTATGTGTTACCTGCAGGTACCTTGTGAATTCCTAGATTTCATGGCTTTAAAGACCCCTCTTTGATGTTCATGTACTAGAAGAATTTTTATAGTATAAGAGGTAGGATAGTACAGTGGGTAAGAACATAGACTGTGGAATCAATGCTTGAATCTCGATTTTGCTACTTAACTGCTATATTCCTAGGCAAGATATGTACCTTCACTATAGAATAGGAATAATATCTACCTAATAGCATTGTGGTGAAAATGAAATGTATTAATAAGCATAAAATACTTAGAATATTCCTAATAATACTAGATATAATGTTACCTAGTATTACTATTACTCTTTGATCTAATACCCTTTGGAGTGAACCTTGGGATATATTGAGAGCTTAGAAACTGGTTCTCTGCTGCCAGCCTTAGTATACCTTCAAGCAGCCATGGGACTGTGGTGTCAGAAGGGATCTCAGTATCTTCCATTAGGTGTTTGTTTCTGTGACATTCACCAGGGGAAGGTTGTTTCCTTATTATTACCTAATACTTAAGCAGGCACATTTGTACCTGTGAGTTCTTACTCTCTGCTTTTCCTGTGTAAATTTCATGATGTCCCCTGGTGGACAGCCGTTCCTTAACCTGTTTTGAGTTCACAGTAGGTTTAAATGAAATAGATAGTCTTCTAACAAATAAAAGAGATCCAAGAAATTTCATCTCTTGTGCTCATTTTAAGAAATTTCTTGAAAAGTCTTGAAAATTGTTTTTTGTGAAAGTTAATCAGAATGATTTTTGTTTGTTTGTTTTAGAGTTTCTGCAGGGGAGAAATAAAGAGTGCATCACTGAAGGATTTGTGTCTTGAAGACAAAAGACGCATTGCAAACTTAATTAAAGAACTGGCCAGGTGAGACAAAGCCTTATATGAAGTGTATGAAGTGTATTAGTATGTGAGAGAGAATATTTTTTTGAAAATAGAAAATTATAAATATGTTCTGATGTCATCCTGTCATTGGTCTTATGGGAACAAAGACTTTTAGAAAAAATAATATTCTGTGGTGCCAAAAAGAAAAGTAGAACACACACACACACACACACAAACATAAAATGGAAAAGAAATAAACAGCAGAACAAACACTCTCCAATTTGTGTTTTCTGGTTTATTCAATTTCCCAGTTGTTTCATAGAAATATCTGCAGCGGTCATGTATCAAGAGGGAACATTTTGAAACTTAGCTCTTCTATTGATGTAGGTTGATATTGTTGTAATCAGAGGCATAGCAGTTACTTTTGGTTTTGCTTTAGCATCTGAAATGGAAGAGAACATTCATTTTATTGTCATCTTTCACAAGAATACTTGTCAGTTTGCTAACTTCTGATAGTTTCAAATAAGGGGTTTTCAATTTTGAGAGAGTTCTTAGCTGTTTGGATGTATTATTCCAGTTTATTAATGATGTGTTTGAAGCATATTTACTTTGTATAATTTTTCCTTAACATACATGTCAAGTTTTGACATCTTAATAAATGAAGATGTCTGTAGAGGAATGTATTAATATAAATTATAAAAGTTAAGTTTAGAGGAAGGCCATACCTAAACATTGATAAAATAGTACTAATTTTTATCATTGAATTGTATGTTTGAATATAGTAGGTCTTTTTTCTTCTTTGTTTTTTTTTAATTAAAGATAGCTACATGAAATGTTTCATCTTAAGGCCTTAAAAATAATTTTTGTAGAGGATGTTCTAGATAGACTGAAGTTAAAAATTACCTTATTAAATCATAGAATCATAGGTATAAAAGACAAAAACAATGATGTTTGGGGGATTAGATTGCAGAGTATAAGAATTCAAAGTACTGCTTTAGTCTGAATTTGATATGGCACTTGATTAAGCAGTAACCTCTTAAACTGGAATTCTTTGACTATTCTGCTCCCTGAAGTAGACTTTTCATTATCTCAAGTAGTGTTTTTTATAATGGGAAAACATTTGATTCTTTAACATTTAATTTATGATCATCTTGCAAGGCATTTTTTTTTCTTTTTTTTACACCATGGAGAGGGATGTGAATGTCCTTACAGCTATTACAATTAGTTTGACATCATATATTAATAGTCCTGAATTGCCTTATTGGAGAAGGAAATGGCAACCCACTTCGGTACTTTTGCCTGGAGAATCCCAGGGACAGAGGAGCCTGGTGGGCTGCTGTCTATGGTGTCGCACAGAGTCGGACATGACTGAAGCGACTTAGCAGCTGCAGCAGCATCATTGCCTTATTGTTCTGATACATGTTCAGCTTCCAGGCTTAGAGAACACTTGACATCTTAGAGCATATTGTTTAGGTTTCAGTAAACTTCTGCTTTCTAGCAAAGTGTAAAATTCTTGGTAGAGTCTCAGTGTGTTAGTACAAGATTACTACAAATTTGACTGCTAAAAACCCCCATTACCACGATCAGTTCAATTCATTCGATGAGTCATGTCCAACTCTTTGCGACCCTATGGACTGCATCCAGGCTTCCCCGTCCAGCACCAACTCCTGAAGCTTGCTAAAACTCATGTCCATCGAGTCAGTGATGCCATCCAACCATCTCATCCTCTGTCGTCCCCTTCTCCTCCCACCTTTAATCTTTCCCAGCGTCAGGGTCTTTTCCAGTGTGTCAGGTCTTCGCATTGGGTGGCCGAAGTACTGGAGTTTCAGCTTCAGCGACATTCCTTCCAATGAATATTCAGGACAGATTTCCTTTGATTTGATTGGTTTGATTTCCTTGCTGTCCAAGGGACTCTCAAGAGTCTTCTCCAACACCACAGTTCAAAAGCATCGATTCTTCTGCGCTCAGCTTTCTTTATGGTACAACTCTCATATCCATACATGACTACTGGAAAAACCATATCTTTGACTAAATGGACCTTTGTCAGCAAAGTATTATCTCTGCTTCTTAATATGCTGTCTAGGTCGATCATAGCTATTAATTTCATGGTTGCAGTCACCACCTGCAGTGACTTTGGAGCCCAAGAAAATAAAGTCTCTCACTGTTTCCATTGTTTCCCCATCATTTTGCCATGAAGTGTTGGGACCAGATGCCCTGATCTTAGTTTTCTGAATGTTGAGTTTTAAGCCAACTTTTTCACTCTCTTCTTTCACTTTCATCAAGAGGCTCTTCCGTTCCTCTTTGCTAATTACCATAAGGATGGTATCATCTGCATATCTGAGGTTATTGATATTTGTCCCAGCAATCTTGATTCCAGCTTGTACTTCAGCCAGCCCAGCATTTCACATGATGTACTCTGCATATAAGTTAAATAAGCAGGGTGACAATATGCAGCCTTGACATATTCCTTTCCCAATTTGGAACCAGTCTGTTGTTCCATGTCCAGTTCTAACTGTTGCTTCTTGACCTGCATAAAGCTTTCTCAGGAGGCAGGTAAGGTGTTCTGGTATTCTCATTTCTTTTTAAGAATTTTCCACAGTTTGTTATGATCCACATAGTCAAAGGCTTTGGTGTAGTGTATAAAGCAGAAGTAGATGTTTCTCTGGAATTTCTTGCTCTTTCTATGATCCAGTGGATGTTGGCAATTTGATCCCTGGTTCCTCTGCCTTTTCTAAATTCAGCTTGAACATCTGAACATTCTCGGTTCAAGTGCTGTTGAAGCCTGGCTTGAAGAATTTTGAGCATTACTTTGCTAGCATGTGAAATGAATGCAATTATGTGGTAGTTTGAACATTCCGTGACTTTGCCTTTCTTTGGGATTCAAATGAAAACTGGCTTTTTCCAGTCCTTTAGCCACTGCTGAGTTTTCCAAGTTTGCTGGCACACTGAGTGCAGCACTTTCACAGTATCATATTTTAGTACTTGAAATAGCTCAGCTGGAATTCCATCACCTCCACTAGCTTTGTTCATAGTAGATGATTCCAAAGGCCCACTTGACTTCAGACTTCAGGATGTCTGGTTCTCATTGTGATTATCTGCGTCATGAAGATCTTTTTTGTATAGTTCTTCTGTATTCTTGCCACCTTTTCTTAATATCTTCTGCTTCTGTTAGGTCCATAGCATTACTGTCCTTTACTGTGCCCATCTTTGCATGAAATGTTCCCTTGGTATCTCTAATTTTCTTGAAGGGATCCCTAGTCTTTCCAGTTCTATTGTTTTCCTCTATCTCTTTACATTGATTATTTAGGAAGGCTTTCCTGTCTCTCCTTGCTATTCTTTGGAACTCTGTGTTCAGATGGGTGTATTTTTCTTTATCTCCTTTGCATTTAGGCTTTCTTCTTTTCTCAGCTGTTTGTAAGTCCTCCTCAGAGAACCATGTTGCCTTTTTGCATTTCTTTTTCTTGGAGATGGTTTTCATCACTGCCTCCTGTACAATGTCATGAATCTCTGTCCATAGTTCTTCAGGCTTCTCTCAGATCTTATCCCTTGAATCTATTTCTCACTTCCACTGTATTATTGTAGGAATATGATTTAAGTCATACCTGAATGATCTAGTGGTTTTTCCCTACTTTCTTCAATTTAATTCTGAATTTTGCAATAAGGAGTTCATGATCTGAGGCACAGTAAGCTCCCAGTCTTGTTTTTCCTGACTGTATAGAGCTTCTCCATCTTTGGCTGCAAAGAATATAATCAATCTGATTTTGGTGTTGACCATCTGGTGACATCCATGTGTAGAGTCTTCTCTTAATGTTGTTGGAAGACGATGTTTGCTTTGACCAGTGTATTCTCTTGGCAAAACTCTGTTAACCTTTGCCCTGCTTCGTTTTGTACTTCAAGGCCAAACTTGCTTGTTACTCTAGGTATATCTTGACTTCCTACTTTTGCATTCCCGTCCCCTTTGATGACAAGGACATCTTTTTTTTTTGGGGGGGGGGTTAGTTCTAGAAGGTCTTGTTGGTCATCATAGAACTGTTCAGCTTAGGCATTACTGGTTGGGGTATAGACTTGGATTACTGTGATATTGAATGGCTTGCCTTGGAAACAAACAGAGATCCTTCTGTCATTTTTGAGATTGCACTCAAGTACTGCATTTCAAACTCTTTTGCTGACTATGAGGGCTATTCCATTTCCTCTAAGGGATTCTCACCCACAGTAGTAGGGCGCAGTTGTGCAGTAGTTTGAGCATTCTTTGGCATTGCCTTTCTTTGGGATTGGAATGAAAACACCTTTTCCAGTCCTGTGGCCACTGCTGAGTTTTCCAAATTTGCTGACATATTGAGTGCAGCACTTTCACAGCATCATCTTTTAGGATTTGAAATAGCTCAACTGGAATTCCATCACCTCCACTAGCTTTGTTTGTAGTGATGCTTCCTAAGGCCCACTTGACTTCACATTTCAGGATGTCTGGCTCCTGGTGATTGATCACACCATTGTTATTAATTGGGTCATGAAGATCTTTTTTGTACAGTTCTTATATGGTTTTTTTTTTCCAGTTCTTATATGTTGTGTTTATTTTTTATAAAAAAACCTACCAAACTGGTTCCCAATATGGTTTTGCTATTTCACAGTCCTGCTAGGAATGTATGACATTCCATCATTCTGCATATTCAATAACTCTTAGTATTGTCATTTCTCTAAATTTTGATGATTCTAATGAGTATAGTGATATCTCCTTGTGGGATTAATTTGTGTTCCTTCAGTGATTAATGTGTTCATTGGCCAGTTTTCTTTTGTTAAGTGTCTGTTCATATCTCTTGCCTTTTTTTTACCCACTTACCCTCTTCCTTCTTGATAGTGAAGTATTAGAGTTTTTTATATATTCTAGATGTAAGTTGTCAAGTATTTCGTTTTCCCCCCATCCTGCAGCTTGCTTTTTAATTCTATTTTCTTTTGAAAAGCAATTTTTAAAAATTTTGCTCAACTTTCATTTATCAATTTTTCTTTTGTGATTCATGTTTTTAGTGTTACATGTAAGAAACCTTTGCCATCCCATGGTGGCAAAATGTTTTTCCTATATCTTTTTGCAGAGTTAGCCTCAGCCTCCTTGTCAAAAACCAGTTGACCATATATGCATGATCTGCTTCTGGGCACTTTATTTTATTCCATTGACGTGTACCCTTATGCCAATACTATACTAACTTAATTACTGTTATTTTTTTTAGTTAAGTCTTAAAATCTCATTGATTTTTTTTGTTTATTTTGAAAATTATTTGGGCTCTTTGAGGTCCTTTGCATGCCACTAAATTTTAGAGTCAGCTTATTAATTACTAAAAGAAAATTGTCTTCTGGAATTTTGTGTGAAGTATGTGGAATTTGGGCTTCCCTGATAGATCATTTGGTAAAGAATATGCCTGCAAAGCAGGAGACCCCTGTTCAATTCCT